GTTTGGATGACGAGTCCTCAGAGCCTCAAGGAGGCGGGGGTAATGGAGAGGGATGAGCGCGAGTATTCGCCTGTACCCAGCAGAGGGATCATAAAAGTTTCTGATCCGCGAACGCTGTGGGTGTAAAGTTCTTATACTGAGGTTTGTGGGATTAAGTTAAGAATGTGGCTGAGGAGAAAAGATTTAGAATAAAAATGTTGTCTGAGGTAAAAAAGTCCTCAAAATAACCGATAAAATGCTCATGGTTGGGGTCAATAAATGTCCAGCTGTTGGCCTGGAATATGTTAAACACAAAAAAGTGAACTGACAGAACAAGTTTGGCATAAATATTTTAAATTAACAATAAATAAATGTCTAAAAAATCTCCAACTGAAACAGTAGTGTTCAGGTCAACATTGTTTCTGACCACATAAAACATTAAACAATAAAACAGTGCAATAAACAGTGTAATAAAGCTGGGCTGATAAATGATCCATGTCATATGAGAATAAATACTGAATGTATGGTTGACATCAGGATATGATCCACTGATCCATTATTCATGGTCAGTCTGACACAGACGACGACCTAAATATTTATTTATCACAGTCCTGGCTGTGTTGAAGACACATGTTGAAGCCCAGACTTACAGTAGCTAGGAGAAGAAATTAGCTAGGTTTGCTAATTAGCAGCAAAACACATTGAACCACTAGGAGATCTAGTTATTAAACCAGAAATTGTTAAAAATAAATAAATAAAAGAAAAACAAGAAAATGCAAAAATAGGGCCAAAAAACATGTTCAGATAAGATTGGATAAGGTTCAAAATATATAATAAAAAAACAAAACTATTTTCTCTTACATTTTAACTGATTTTTTTTTTTTTTTTTTTGCTGCTTCTGCAATGAAATGCTCTTAAAAATATTTTAAATGCCACTGAAACACTTATACTAGCTAAAATACTAGCTAAATTTACTAGATTTAAATTCTACTGGAGATTTCATTAACATGTTTGGAAAAATAATTCTCCAGTGTGGGACTGAAGACCTTTTAAGATAGTAGTAGTGCTCTCAAACACACTTTTTTTTTCAAATTGTTATTTTACTACAAAACCCATTATTCCATCTTCCTGTGTCTTACATCCAGCAGAAATGAACTGAAATCAGTCACTCATGGCTGTGGTCATGGCCGAGCTGTTTCAGCAGTCGGTGGCAAACAGCGACATAAATGAAGAAGCTGTAACCTTGTTTCTCATTCGTGCAGGAATGAATTACTGACAATTTAATGTTGTTCCGACGGCGGTCGGAGTAAATATGTCCAGTACCGTAGAGCTGAAAGCAGTGATAACTGCAGGGCTTTATTAAAGCCCACTTATCAAGGAAGGAAATCCAATGTTTGGTCACTCGCAGGAACAAAATGAAAAGTTCTTGATTTTCTCCAGAGATAAATGTGTTTCTGGTCGTGAATTGACAGTGAAATTGTTACAGCGTCTGGGATTTCTCCCTGCAGTTTATCAAAGAACGCATCATTGAACATGTCGACTGTGGTCATTTTAAATCTAATGCCTCACTTAGGAAAAAAAATCTGATTTTCCCCTTTTTTACATTCATTTATACAAGGTCATTACAGATGTTTTTTATATGAATAAAAACATATATAATACAGCATAAAGTGTGGCTGTCAACTGTAGTTTTACAATGATTGAAAAATCAAAGTGAAAATAATTAGTAGTTTCAACATGTCAATGTTTACGGCTGTTAAATTGAACAAACGATTTCTTATGTCAACAAATAAATTTGTGCACAAATTTTCTTTTTCAAAATGGTATTTCCGACTTAATTTCCTCTAGGGGCCAGCAGGGGGCTGCATGTTAGAATCCAGGATACCAATTAACATACACTAAAAAAGTTCTAGCATTTTTTTTTATCATCAGAGATGTGGTTTTCTGTGGGTCAAAGGTCACAACATATCTGTCCCTCTCATTAGCATTTGCTGATAGTTTATTTTGCACATGTATCTATTGTAAGTAGTAGAATCTGGAACCAGATTCTTATTAACAATACGTGAACCTGAATGAACTTAATGTATGTATAGACATGTATGTCTACTTCATTAATGTGACACAGCATTTTCCCACAGGAAACTAACGTTGTTCAAACCAGGGTTCATTGACAATATCAGGGATTCAGCCGAGCCCACAGACGTTGTGGATTCACTGTTTCCTCAACGGACTCTGGTCAAGACTGCTGAGAAACATCCACGTTTCAGACACCAGTCAAAGGTCTGTGTGCTCAGTAGGATAATGCTCATTAAAGCATTGTCTCTTTAAAAACCCCTAAAACCATCGGACCGATCCATTGGACTCCTGCTCTCCACAGCCTGTGTTGGTTTTAAACACTTAAAGACACAATTATCTTTTTTAAAGACTTCAGCCATTTCATAAAACAAGGCCGTAGTTGTCGACTCAAATGGCCAAATTACAGTTCTACTTCACATTGTACTTCGGTACAATCAGTACATACAGTGCCCAATTTGCAGGAGTAGATTTTTAAATAAGGCGAGGGACTAGTACTACTTGAGGTCACCCAGAACCGTGGCCTGGTTTTTTACACCTTTGTTTTTGATTGTTTCCTGAATTAAACTCAGCACCAGTTCTTTATAATTAACCACGACACAGAAACTTCACAGTGAAAATAAATATTACAGATGAATTTCCCTGCCCTTGGAAGAAGAAAATATTATAATTCTAATATAATTCTGTGTATAATGTGGAAATAAAGTATATCTTCCACCTCTGTGCTAGACTTGTCTTTTTCCCCCTCAGTAACATGAAACTATTCCCATGTCCGTTCACAGCAGACCTGCACTCAGATTCTGCTCTGCACGATGGGAATGTGAGGAATGTGAAGATTAGAAATCTGAGGATTTCTTCCCAGGGTCGGAACGGCAGCAGGTGAGCACAGGTGTTTGGAGGCTTAACAACCAGCTCTTTATTACTGGGACATCAATGTTGACTTAAATACCCCTCAATTCACACAGACATGTCCATCACCTGAGATATTTTCATCATCCGTTATCAGCAGAGACACTTTTCTCCACGGTGGCTGACAGACTGTGGACTTAGTACAGATTGTACTGTACGCTGTATTATTTTCTCTCCCTCTCCTTTTCAGCCACACAGAAACGGCTTCTCATTCACTACCCCACCGTCCTTCCCTCTATTTCTTCAAGGAGCGTGTGTAATGACATTTGCTGAACAGTATTGGAAAATGTACTCACACTTATCCAACATTTCCTGAATAAAGTGAGGAGTGCTGTTCAGGGGCCAGTAGACTAACCTCCAATTTTCCACCCGGCTGTTCAAAAATCTCCCACTTGCCACTTTGCTCTTTGAATCGTTTCACAGACATGAATCTGGACTCACGTATTCAAATGAAACCAAACATGAGCCAGACTTACAGAGGTGAGACGTTTTACATTTTGAGGATGAAATACTGCGGCATAATGTCCCCTGGGATGGGAAACCAGGTCCCTGTGCAGCAGTGGAGCTAAGAGGAGACCACGACCGGATCAACAGAGGCAGAACAGACACCATTAGACAGACGTTCTTCGCCCCAAGTTTTTCACTTTTCTGTCTTGTTAGCAGAGCAGCATCAGGGCTAATGAAGTCACAGCTTTCTTCACTGTTGATATATACATATATATATATATTTATATATATATATATACACATATATGCACACATACACAAATATTTTCTTTAGAGAATTTCACATCTTCTCTACTTAATTTTTATATGTACTTTATCTCAGTCTTTGAGCCTCGTCATTCATCAGCCATTGAGTCAATGTCCATTAATGATTTACAAAGAACATCTGATTCCCATCCACCCACTGGTACTAACAAACTGGTTTCCACTTCTATTAATTTTTATGTGAACCTAATTAACTGCCTCCGGCTCTATCCAATCTCTTCCTCCATCTGAGTGTTTATTGTCATCTTTAGTGTTTTTCCATGTCCAGCCTGCAGCAGAAAATTGTTGTGGACCTGACCCCTGCCTTAATAGCCAGGGGTCTAGAGCCTGGTAATGGACTTTGGCTTCATGAGAAATAATTCATGACTGTAATAAGTCAGGTGGAGGCTTCACATCATGACGAGAGCTGGTTTACAGTACAGACCACAGTGCACTTAAAGAAGATGTTCAAGGTGAAAGTTTCTGCAGAGGAATTTTAAATCATGTAAAATATCACGTATTATGTGAGTGTAATAACAAAAGGAAACAAGCTGCAATGGCTGTACTCATGTACTCATCTGACAAAAGGACTTCATTTATGTCGTTGCTCTTCCTCACCAGTTGATGGCAGCAGTTCTGCTGGAGACCCGAGGTGCAGGTGGTGACTGTAAATAAAGAGAAGAATGTTAAGTAGCAGAAGAAGAAAGCAACCTTCAGCTGCACCTAGGACTGAATTTGAACATGAACACAATACCATAGTACCATATATATATATATGTATATATATATAATACAGTATATTTTTAAACACAAAATGACTTGAAAATGATACATGCAATTTAAAATTGACATATGAGACAATGGAAATTCTGAAAAATAAACAATTACAACAAGAACAAGTAATATTTCAACCAGACAAAAATTGTGTATGGTTTTACTCTTACCTGTATTTTCAACAAGTAATATTTCAACCAGACAAATGTATGGTTTTACCCTTACCTGTATTTTTGACAAGACTTTAAAGTAAGTTGTGCTTTCTGTATTTCTTCGTGTTTGCTGTTGATACTCAGTCAGCAGGTTTATGCATTTCTTTTCTTAAGAACCTATGAAAGAGAAATGGTAGTCTTTCAATTATGTAAAACTTGGCGACTCCAAAACTTTATTTATTTACAATGAAAATAAATTACGTCGTGTGTATCTGTTACGCACGTAACTATGTGAGTAGGTGCGTTTTTAACTTTGAAGGGCGTTATTTGAAAGGCTGCAGTGAAGTCATCTGCTCATTCATTGGCGTGGCTGTATTGAGTTTCATATTTCCGGATGTTCCGTGAAGCAATCATCTGCATTACTGTGAAGGAAGCTAATGCTACATCCGTGAACGCATCAGCTTTGTCAACATGCACTTAAAGGTCGTTTTTGCTTATTTTACCATTAGTTTTCGTTGCTTAACTTCCTCAAAAACGCTTTAGCCAATTAAAATGGAACATCTTATCGAGCCGAGTTAGCCGGATTGGTGTTTTTATTCATTTTCCCCTTGTGTCGTAGCCAACAATCAGTTACAAGAGCGAACTAGAAGGAACTAGCCGCTGTTAGCCCCCGTAAACATGGCGATCGTTCCCGGCTCCTGTGCCCGGGTGAACGGCTCCAGAAACGGGCCCTCTATGTCTGTTACACCATCGGGTTCTTCTGGACAGTCTCAGCCCATGATAGCTGTGTGGGAATGGCAGGACGACTTAGGCTTCTGGCGGCCATACAGCGGCCAGGTGAGTGCCTACATCGAACGGTGCCTGTCTCCGAGGGGGCCCAGAGGGGGAGCAGCAGGACCGGGCTGCACAAGCATCTGCCTCGGACAATCAGACCCCAGCCTGTCGCCTTATCTTATCGACGTACCGAGCCTCAAACAGTTCCGCCAGGATACAGGTGAAGTCATACCTTAGACCACTCATATTATGGTGTTAGCAACGTAGCATTAACTCACAGTAGTACCGTTGTTTGACTGTTTTCATCTTTTCATTAATGAGTTTACGCAGTTACAACATCAGGTTCATACAGTACATTATAACGTCACAGTTGTTAGGGATGCTAAGCCGCTGTTGGTTAATATTTGTTTATGTTTGATTAAAAGTTAACAAGTCTCTAATGAGGAGAAATGTGTTAGTACTTTCTTTAGGGTGTTCGTGTCAGTTCATTTATTCTTTACACCGTGACAGCTGTATTTACTGTACATATTGTAATATCATTTCCATTCAATTTTCTATTGCAGGAAAGACACGATCAGTACGACGGTCTCTGTTTGCCCAGTCCTCAGGCCTTGGCAGTGGTGTTTACTGGGAGTGGGCCAACGATGAAGGTGGTTGGACTACATACGAGACAAGAACCTCTATTCTTTTGGAGCACAGTTACCAGGCCCGACAAGGCACTGCAGACCTGGGCCCTCACGGTTATAATTACATAGTGGACCTCACATCTCTGTCTCAAGTTAACAAAGCCACAGGGTTCAGGCGTCAGGTGAGGCGCCAGTGTAACCTCCCATATCCGCTGGCATCCAACGGGCCCCCGGCTATCCCTTCAGGGCCTGCCTGCTCATGCCAGCAGTGTTTGAGCCACAGCAGCACGGGACCCATTTCCAGCCGCTCACGACATTCATTTTCTTCAGGAAGTCTGAACAGGCCCAGCCTCCAAAGCACAGGGAGAGCTGTGGCGGCGCACCCCACCTCTGTGTACTCGCCTTACCCCAGAAGGCCCCTCTCTGTTGGGGGGGTGTCCTGGGGCAACTCCTGGCCTCCACCACTACCAGGAAGTCAAATGACTGCTCCGATGCTGAGCAGCTCTGCCAGTGCCAATGGGCTAAGGTTAGTATGTTGTAAGGTGCCCAACTCAATATTTAGGTTTTAGTAAGCCTAAATATTGCTAAGTTTGCCAGAATTGTGCCTAAGTTTAGAGCCTAACATTTTATACCTAAGAGGAAGGAAGACCAGGAATGACTTATGAGATCTACGGATGGATGTGATGGCCCCTGATCCACTTTCTTTCCTTTTTGTCTTTCCTGCCTGTTTCTCTTTGTGAATGTGCAGAAGAAACCACACTTTATTATGCTAGGTTTCATTTCAGTTTCATTTTTGCTTGTCTGTGTTTTCCCCTTTGTGTTTTTTATTTTCTGTTTCCGACAGCACAGAAATGGCACCAGCATTTATTTATTCTGTCCTGGATGTCAAAATTAAGGTCCTTGGGCCACATCTGGTACTATGATGAGCCTACAAAGGCCCAGACAACCATTCAACGTATTACTCTGTCCATTATGTTGCCTTTAGTCCATGTAACACCACTTTAAAACTGTAAAAAGTGGAATGTAGCGTTTTCATTGTAAAAATGTAGGTTGCCACTGTTTGGAAGCTGTCAACTCTAATTGTGCAAGTTTATGCTATTTTCTCAAGGTCTTTGGACTTGATGAAGGATGATAAATAAATTCATACAGTTTCTTTCAAACTCTCACAACAACTACTAGTTGACGTCCAAGCTTTTGATACAGACTTAAATTCATACACTTTATTTCAAACTCTCACAACAACTACTAGTTAACCTATGGTTCTGGTTGAATTGGGCTGTTTACTGGTTAAAGTAGTTGTTAGTCTTGACTGACTGCTTTTGTTCTGCCCTCCCTGCAGTGTTCCCTCCATCCCTGTGCAGCTGAATGGATCTACCAGCGTCAGCTCTGCACTGGCAGGTAAACTGGTATCTATTTTTTTTTTTTTTTTTTAAACATTTAAAGTTAAAACTTTAAAGTCATTTAAAGTATACTTGGTCTGTCTGGTTCTGCACCACATTGACTTTTATGACCAGAATAAGAAGTTTATGTGGTTTACGTGCCACTCCTCTGCATTTGCCATTTGGGTGTCTCTCTGTAAAGGAATAATGGGAGGGTGGGGGAGTCAGAACTAAACGAATGCACCCTTATTGCTTGGCAAAAATGAGGAAGAGCATAAAACTGACAGTGACAGGGAGGAGGTGCAACTGGCTTTTATGGTTTAGGCCATCGGATGTTTGAAGACAAAAATACTTTTATATTGTAAGTACAGAAAACAGCCCGACTTTTTATTGGGTCCACGGTTTTGACGAGACATTTTGCACTCCATGATGCAGCAAGTTCTCCATCGAGTGGGAAAACAGTCCTATGTATCAAGCAGGAACTACTTCAGGGCCAAGCAAGTCTTGGTTTTCCAAACATTCAAGCTTCCAAACAGTTCCTGGTGCATGAACTATGGTCCTGTGGTCAGTGGTAAGTTAAAGGTCTTTACACTGCTGCTGTCAGGTATTCTCCTAAAGTCTCTAGAGCTGTCGTAACTTCCAGAATATGATTTTGTTAAACTAGTTGAAAAGTTAATCTGCATAGTGATTTGGCCCAGCTGGATGACCTTCCTCATTCAATCCAACCTGGAAATAGTATCGAGGTGAAATGGAACCTAGGAACCTTTGCAGGACAGGTGGCAATCCCACCAATGAACCAATCTAGGTCCTCTAAAAAAGTGTTTACCATAAACAGCTGCTGAAATCTTCAAAATATTAACATTACACTGTAGCTCCTTTAAACTTCAGTTGTCCAAACTCACAACAACGGAAAATATATACGACTGTAAATGTGAGGACTGTCATTATTGATCTTATTGATCTTAGTTCCAGCAGGACTTACCAATGAGATGTAACCACCGTAGGCCATATGACATTAGCAGAACATTAGCTTCAATAATTTTCCTCACACAGCTGTAGTTGACCTGAATTAACTGTTTAAGTCTGGGTGTCATCAATTAAAAGTAGTCTTTAAGTCTTTAATGACTGTAGGAAATGTAACTGTATCACCAACTATGGTCCTGTGGTCAGTGGTCGTTGGTAAGTTAAAGGTCTTTACACTGCTGTTCTAGACTAAGGTAGAGTGACACCTGCACTGATTGGTTGATAACATGTCACTAGCAGCCTCTGCTGGCAGCTGTTGGTGGGTGGGCTCACAGCTCCAAATCAGCTATTGATTGGTGGGCAGCAGGGAGAGATTTTCAAACTCTTTGGAACTGTTTTCTGTTTTTTCTGTAAAATGGGAGATATTCTCTTCCAGCTCAATATTAATTCCAAAAAAAATCAACATCTATTTTTATTTTTATTATTATTAAAGAGTTACTATATTGAGCTTGGTTGGGCG